CGTCGACAAGCCACAAGCCATCGAGAAGAGGCAGCACGGCTTCGCACAAACACGTCGTAAACTAGAACACAACTAAATCCTTCAAAGATCAAGTTGGCGTCCTACCCCGCGCAGCACTCCACTGCCCTTAAAATCGCCGCCGACTTACTCGCGTGCCTCTGTTGTTGGTGTCGTTCATGTGCAGAGCGACGGGGAATGGGCGGAGGAAGAGGCGAAAGAGGAAGGACACCTCCGAAAGGAGAAGTACAACGAACCCCAGGTGGACCCTACCGACACGCGGTACGTGGTAAATCAACCGAGTCCGACAGGTGCATTAGTTTTCACCTGGTCCGCGGTCTCATTATGATGTCGGTGTGCGATGTAGTAAAACCTCAGATATTTCTGTTCCCGCCGCGGCGTATGCCGTTTGACACTGTGTGGCGTCGAGTCTCGAGCAACAAGGCAGGAAACCTATGAGTACAATCGGAAGCATGCATACAAATCGTGCGTTCTGAAGGTCGATTGCCGAGCCCAGAGCTAAGCTAAACACAGAGAACCACCACAAGCCATCAGAAGCACCTTTTTTTCCACGGACAATCAGAGGGACAGGTGGTTGTTGTTTGTCTTCTCGCGGATGCCGTTTGTGTTGGGTCTTTGCTAGCCGTGGGGCAAACCAGGTGTACCCTTCACAACCGATAACAAGAGGAATACTCGAACACGCCTCTACACTCACTTGTTCCATCAGGGAAACCAAAACGTATTTTAATAGATGAAGGTCAAGAGGTGTTCCGCTCTTTACAGACTGACTCGCCCACGTGTAGGGGATGCACGCATGGTAAAGTGTGACACATCGCATGCCCCCTAGAGCGACTGTCACAGCTAGAGGCCTCCACAACCACGAGGGTGCTAACGCCGAAAAGGGTGGCGTTGGAAACACATGTTGTCAAGCATCTCAAGGAGATTTCCTTGCACGTATCGGTCGGTGTTTCGTACCCACTTGTTTGCTGAGTAATCGAGCTTTGAACGTGAGCCCAGCGGTGGTGGGACCACTTGCCCACAGACGGGAATCAGATAATTGGTGTGAGAAGGACGAAACTGGGAGTCTTTTGTACCGGCCCGTGGTGATACTGGGAGCCAAGAATGCGTTTCGGTTCCACCGAGTTTTGCCCCCCACTCACTTTGTCTTGCCTACCGTTTCAGCTAGGTGTGTGTCGGAACGTCTTCTGGGTATCTTGGTCCGGACCGTGTACCGTTCAGTGCTCAAAATCGTCTAGCTTGTCGCGGCAGATACTCTGCTTGCCGCACCTGTAACACTGCGATGCATTCGCCAACACGCGTACCCTCTGTCCACATTCCGCCTCTTTTCTGCGCGTTGGGATGATGCTCATTCTCCTCAGCTCCCAAGAAACAGTGTCTGGAAACGGCACGGCATCATCTAACCCAGGAGAAGTGACCTCCAACGCTGCAACCGAGGCCAGCCCGTCGACCCCACCATCCCCTTCCGTGAGCCCCGTCCCGACGGCGAACGGTTCTGTGGTGGGCTCCCCTACCAGGCGAGCGACCGCGCAGTCGGAGTCTTCCACGTCATCTGCACCCCCGCAATCAGAGCAGGCACCGGTTCTGGTCGACACGGCGGAGAACACGGGCGCAACGGACTTCCAACGAAACAAACCGCCATCGGGGGAGTTGCTATAGGGGTGGTACGGAAGAACGACGCGACCGGCGTGCAAGACAGGGAAGAGTCGGCCGGGCCTTTACGATCACCCTCGACGCCCCCGCTTGCATCGTCATCCCCGTCTTCCCTGTCTTCTCCGTCGGGCCAATCGAGCTCTCTGTCCAAGGTCGCCGCCTGGGGGGAGACCGCAGTCTCCGAGAAAGAGGTGCACCTGCTGGACATAGAGCTGGCGGTGCGGCGAAAGCACAGGGCCCTGCAAGAGGCGCAATGCCAGATCGAGCTGGTGCTGCGAGAGAAGGGCGCGGCCTCGGTCGAGGCGGCACGGGACACGACGCTACAGCTGCGGGAGAAGGACGAGGCTCTCAAGATTGCGGAGGAGACGTTGGGGCGGGCGGACGAACGGCAGAGGGAACTGAGCACGCAGTTGGCCAAGAGCTTGCACGAGGTGAGCCTCAGGGAGACGGAGCTGGAGACCGCCCTGCGGCACAGGGGGCAGGAGGACCAAAGGGGCAACGACGAGAACAAGAAGATCCGGGCCGCGATGCGGCAGGTTGAGGAGGAGTCAGCCTTGGCTCACACGAGGTTCGAGTCTCTGCGCGAGCACGCGACGCGGGAAGTGTTAGCCGCGCAGCAAAAGGCGACAGAGAAAGTCGGGCGAGCCCAATTGAGGTACGAGTCTCTGTGCGAACGCACGCTGAGGGAGTCCGTGGCCGCGGAAGCAAGGGCGAACCGGGAAGCCGAGGCTGTCCAAGAGAAGGCGCGGGAAGAGGCACGAGGCGCCGATGACAGATACAACGCTCTGCTCGTGCACACCGCCGACAAGCTCGCTGAACGCGAACAGGCGGAGCGAAAACTGTCGGAATCGAACGAGAACATGGAGGGAGAAGTCCTCAGGCTTACCAAAGAGGTGGGTCATAGGTTTTTTGCGTTAGCGTTATCGACGTTCGCAGGAAAACGACAGGTGTTGTTCTACTTGCGTTAAGCATTAGGTGCTCTCTGAGATGTTCTCGTGTTGGCGTTCTGTGACATCGTAACATCCTCGTGGGTGTTGGTCGCCTATCTCTTTCAACCCCTGCTGAGACAAACCCAGATCACAACACCGTTGGTTAAGTGCCTTCATACTCTCCTCTCCCTGCCTCTCGAATACACGAAAAACAATGCAGCTAGAATCAAGCTCGAAGTCTCGGAACCACGCGTTGGTCATGCTCGCGAAGCAAAGCAAGCTGAAGGCAGAAGCTGTCAAGGAGACAGAGGACCTGCGACGAAAGCTTGCCACCGCTGAGTTCGAAAGCGCGGCAGATCTCGCCGAGACACGTCTGACGGCGGACAGCAGGGAACAAAGTCTCGAACAGAAGCTGCTCCGGTCTTGCCAACAGACGGCCGAAGCGAAACAAGCTGCAGCGGATGCCGTCGCGAGTGTCAAGCAGGGCGAGCTGAAGTTTGCCGAATACCGAGCGGCAGCGGACACCCGATTTGCGGCTGCGGAGGCACGTGTGACAGACCTCAAGGAGAGGCTCGCCGATTTGCACAAGCAAGAAACAACTGCGGCAGGAGCAGCTAGCGAGCACGCCCTGATGCTGCAGGAGCGAATTGAGGCGCTCGGCGAGGAGCTCAAGGAGATGGCTGACCACGCTGCCGCTGCGGACGACCGATCTGCGGCTGCGGAGGCGCGTGTGACGGACCTCAACGAGAGGATCGCCGTTCTGCAGCTGCAGGCGACAGTGGCAGCAGGAGAAGCAAGCGAGCACGCCTCCATGCTTCAGGACCGAATTAAGTTCCTCGGTCTGGACCTTGAGAGGATGGCTGACCGCGCTTCCGCTGCGGAAGCTCGATCTAAGGCTGCGGAGGAACGTGCGGCGGACCTCAACGAGAGGCTCCACGCTCTGCAGCGGAGGGCGACAGCAGTGACGGCGGCAGGAGAAGCAAGCGAGCACGCCACGATGCTTCAGGAAGGGGCCGAGGCACTCAGCCAAGACCTTAGGGGGTTGACTGACGCCACTGTCGCCGAATCGAGAGCCGCGTCGCTTGCTACAAGCGCAGGCTTCTCCGCGGCGGGAGCAGAGACAACGAACGAGGGCAACAATGACGACGACCTCATCAACAGGGCCCTCGAGAGGGTGGCGAGCGTAGATCTC